AGGTACCTAAACAGAAATATGAAATATTTAACTATGAATATCTAGCGTGGACAGCTGTTATCAAGTTTTTAATTATACATTCCTATTACTTTTAATTTCTATAAACCATATTATGTTTACACTATTAATACTTAGCTATAAGTCATATAAATGCAGTATATACAATCTATTTTTCTTTATTAACGTTATTTAAATTTAATACACTAAAGAATTCAGACCTGTCAGTGGCGTAGCCAGGATTTAAAAATGGGGGGAGCAAAGCAACAAAATAAAACGGCAATCGTTTAATTTTTCAACAGTTGTATACTTGTATACCAACGTATATTTGTAAAAATAAATGTCGAACACATTCAAAATTATATTTTTACATTTAAATTGGGAGAACGATTGGGAGCACAAGTAACACATTTAGGTACACATTTTTTCAGACACCAAAAATGAATGCAACGTTTGGGTACATAATATTTTTAAACACTACCACATTTGAGCACCAATACATTTAAGTACACCATACACATTATTTTCTATTTTATTTTTTAGAGTCTATTAGAGACACCAAGGGGAGGTTGGCTCATAATAGTTTCCCCAATTTTTTTTTTTTGCAACTAATTTAAAAATATTTTTTGTATTAAATACATACTATGTCAAATTAATGGGTCATTACAAAAATACTAAATCTATTTAATTCAAATATCGTATTTTATTTTATTTACTACTATCTTATTTATTATAACATTTTATTTTTTTTTCTGATATAAAGTGGACCTCGTTAAATATTGTCATAAATATTTTCTAATATTATTGTCAAGTTTAAATTCATTTATTTTTTATCTAAATGTATTCATGTTATATTACAGTTACGTTTAGTTGGTAAAACAAAAAATGTTTCAAAAAATTGATTGAGAGCTGTTAATTGTTATTTTGTATTCGGTGTCGGTTCATCAGTTGGCAGCAGCATGTCCGTATATTCATGTTTAATATTTTTTATGTGTCATTTTATTTTTTGTAAATCTTTTTATTATACCTTTATAACTAGTGTATTTCTAGTTAGGATGATTGTAAGATGACAAAAATTTACTTAACAATTAAAAAATTAAAATGTTTTTTTTGTTTTTAACGAGAAAGTAACATAGTTACTTTTCTATTTAAAAGGTAAAGTATTTTTTTTTATAATTTTATTTAAGTAACAAGTAAAATAAATTAATTACTTTTTAAAAGTTATTTACCAAACACTGGACGATGTTGTGTTTTATATTATATTCCTAAACATTTAGGTATTTTCAGGGGCAAATTATAGTTTAGTAACCTTGTGAAACATCCAAATTATGCCACTATCCGAACATCAGCACATCATACAACCAATATTAACAATTTTCTTTAATAATAATTTAACAATAGTTGAAATTACAGTTGTATCTTAATTAGGTAGCCATGTTGCACAAACCACTATTTTAATCATTTTATTATTTTTAAAAAGCTTTGTAGGTTTCAATTAAATTGTTAAATGATTCCTGTTACAATTCTTAAAAACACTGAAATCAAAATTAGACTTTTTTAAAAGATGAATACAATTCACATAAAAAATATACATATAAAAATAATAATCATTAATAAATATGAATAGTCTAAATGATACAATTTATCTAACTTATGATGATATTTAAAAAGAAGCCATAAGAATCTCAAACTTTTGAAAATACAAAATAACTATACTACTGAAATAATATTGAGCATAGAGTCCACGCTAAACAAACCTGCCGATGCTGGCAATCGAAACAGTTTATGTTAGGTAATGTTCAAGCACAAAAACCACAAACTCAAGTAGGTAGCATATACTTTGTTAAATATAAGGCCAATAATAAATAGAAGAAAATTAATTTTTTACTATCTATAACCAATACAGACACATACACACAATTCACACTAAGGTCAAAATCTAAAATAGTTTAATGGATTTGTATAATGCTTATACTACTCAGCAACTCTAACCTCACAAAAAGTTTTTTTCCAGGAAAATTATGTGACAAGTTTTAATTTTAACATTAAAATAATTAATATACAATAATTATTATGGTTAGTTTGTGATTTAACAACTTGATAATGATAAATAGTAAATAAATTAAATTAAAAAAGTACTGTATGCCTGAGTTTTAAATAATAATTACGAGATATCTGATATGGTGAACAATAATATATACCTATGTTAACTTAATAAATTTCTTTTTTAATTTACGTGAAATTATTCATTTTTCATTTTAAGAAGTTAGTTAAGTTAATTCATTTTATTATATTTCACTATTTCAGTCGATTTTGTTTTCATGTCAAAAAATATTTACCGAGAATTATTTAAAGTTAAAAATGTATATCATTAGAATCTAACTTAAATGGAAATACTGTGTATTAACAATCTAATAGTTTATAATTTAGTTATGGGTTGGAAAAAAATTAAATACACTAGCATTGTATAAACATATTAACTTTTTTTAACTTAATAAAAAATTAACAAAAAGTATGTAATAACATTTAACTAAACTGAGTTAACCCACAGTTAAATTAACTTTTCACTTTTAGTTATTGGTGCATATTAACTTAACTGAGTTTAAAAAAAAAACATTAACTTGCCCAGCCTTGCTAATTTGTTGGTAACTAACATAACAAGTGTTCATCTTTATTAATTTTTAAAATTTCAAAATATTTTTATCTATTTGGACACTATAATAAATAAAAATAAGGTTCAGTATAAATAGTAGCCAACTGTCCATCTTAAAACAAATATTAATTAAGTCACAAACAATTTATAATTTACATCAATGAAGAGAAATATTTTCTAAAATTCCAATGCATTCCATTGTGTGCTTCATATAATATTTCTTACCTGGATATTTGCATTGCTTCAGGAGGACCTTTAAGACCGCCAGATTCTTCATTTAGCAAAACTTTCAAGCAGTTCAATAGCTGCATGGGATCAATCGGTGGCTGAAAATAGAAATGTTCATAATTTAATTATTTAATATGAATTAATATTAATTTTTAAAGGATCTATACTAATATTTAATAGTAATAGGCTAGTGTACCTATTTTATTCACCAAGTTTGTTTTGTATAAATATTTTTCATAAATGTAAATATTTATTGATCATTTAAAAAAAAATATTGGTTCATACATATTATATATCCAAGTATAAATATTAATATAATTCATTAATCAATATAATATATACAAATAGGTACCTATGTCAAATAGTCTATGAATGAAATTATAATCTATATATTGTTATGTTATTAAATAAGTAAAACTACTCAAATGTATAGAAGAAAGTCTTATTACTTTTAGCATTGCAATACATTTAAAATACATTTTGATTCATTACTAATGGTCCCTTAAACATGATTTAATAGCCCATGATCGGTCCTTTACATTTTATTGAACCATTAAATCAATACATTTTTCATGCAACCTATTATTAATAAACATGTATGGGAATATAAGGACTAAATATTTAATTTAGAATTTATTATTCAATAAGTCGAGATACATATCAAATAGCTAAATGCCTAAGTAAATCTGATATTTCCAAATTGCAAGACTTTATTAATTCAATTTCAATTATGTTTTATAAAAACAATTATTACTAAGTCATATTTTGATGAACGTATACTGTGACTCGTGAAAGCTCCGATGCGTGTACGATATCAAAACCTAGGTAATGAAGAGAAGGGGGAGTAAACTTTTGCGATAACTACATTTCATACACAACTTAAAAAATCAAAATAGGCAGCAGGTAGAATTAAATATCTATTTGAAGTTTTTATTTCATATTTAATCATTAACTTCGTACGCACTTAACAAAATTAAAAACAAATTCAGTTTAACCATATATGTACGAGTTATACTCGCAATGAACCCCACCAAATTTGCATAGTAGTACAGTGATAGTGGGAAAATAATGACCGATGTTAGGACTGATACAAGAAAGTGCAGGAATAAAAATTGTCCGTCCAATACGTGAAAATGCATACGTCACCAGCGATAATAACGATTGCAAGTACGTCAGCGAACGTGAGCCAATTTCAAGTGACGTAATAATAACAATATGTCGTCGACACTTAGATACTATTTAAATTAACAAATGAAGTGGAATATGAATAATAATGAACACCACAACTCATTACGTAGTACTTATATTTTTTTTTTCACTTTTGTTCATTCAAGGAAAGGCCAACCCGTTTCGGGTGTTTCGGCTGTTTTGTGTTGAAAAGGATACAAAGGAACAAATTAGCAAATAAATAAAAACACATTTAAAACTATCACTGTAGTACCGTTTTTTGTACAACGTTAAATTATATCTTAATTTTCTTAAACTGGTCGGACTAGTAATTATAGTGTTCTATTAAAACCATTATACATAGTCATTTTAACCCAAGGTCAAATAATTTTATAGGGCAGGTCAATGAAGGACCGTAAACTTACCATGGCGTTTTTGTTGTGCGTCTCTGAACGTACAAATACGATTTATACAATGGTTTGGCACAATTTTTTTCTCTCTCACAAAAATAAGTGTCGTATTTAAAATACTAAAACGTCGATTTTGTATTTACGTTTTTTTTAATGTTTTCCTGTCAGTAGGAAGGCAGTAAAAATAGAAATAAAATTAATTTAAAATCGTTCGTCCCGACGGCGAATGGATGGTGCCTGGCGTGCAATGTTAGCGGCGTACGTATGGTGGACTTCAATGCTACGCTTGTTGTTGACGCTACCCCACGAGAATGTGAATCCGTGATTACAATTTAGCTGATAAACAGCACAAAATGGCGGACCGAATTGCCATTAACGACATCGATTGATCGAAGCGTTGCCGCCGTGGTAATAATAAAACAGTTCCGTCATCGTTACACTCTTTGTATATGCGCCCGCGCCCATGGCCTTCATTTGAAACGGTTTTTGGATTGTTCTTCTTCTGCCGCCGCTCGCTCAACAATATTCCGGACCAAACAACAATCTTACGGCATACGCACTGCTGGATGAGCGCTAAGCAAGGTGTGATGAAATTTGAAATATGATGTAAAAACGGAAATAAAATGAATCAGAAAACAGTTGTCCAAACACTGACGACGACAATCTCGAGCGCAGCTCCGGGAAAGAGTGAAAACACGTCGACGCAGCAACAGCACCACACTGATGGGCGATGGCAATATTATTTTAACGATCAAAGCGCGAGTAAAGCGTTTACGGCAATGACAAAATAATTTGTCGTCGTCGTCGTCGATTGAAGCGTAGTTAAAGCAGAAAATTGTGAATACTCGTCTCCTCGTCGTCTTATGAGTTATGTTGATCAAATGGATCGTACGTCCTAACTGCAAATATGGCTGCAACACTCGACAAACTGCGACGTACACTGAACCACGTAACAATAGAGTAGTACTACTGCAACAACTATGGTCTGCACTTCTGTAGTGTACTGTAATAGTAGGCAGAAGCAACTTATTACTAAATGTTGGGAAATAGCCAATAGGCATTAGGCAAGACTAGCAACTTCCAGCGTGCCAAGTTGGCAGCACTGCCGACTACTTAAAACTGAACTGTAAGTACACTGAATAATACGAAACTCGTGCGATCAAGTTGGTAACGTTACATTTGACTATGGTCGAGTGGTGTAAGGGGGGGAAAGCATCTGCAACTTACGAGTTTGGCTTTAACAGCTGACATCGGGGTGACTGTCGACTTATGCACAGGGGCGTAGCTTCACCTTCACTACAATAATATGGCTCTGGATCAGCTGCTGCACTGTCAGGCGTCGAACTGATGGTTGACTCGGTGGGGGAAATAGATATAATAATATACTATAGGTACTATACTATTTTAATTTATAGTATATATATATATGTATTCTGTGGTGGGGGGGGTGACCCTACGACAGACGAGCCCATGATGATGGATAAATATTAAATAATAAATATCTATTATCTGTGCGTAGTGCGTTCAGCCAGGCTGAATCAGCCTTCAACATATTATTAAGCCGCGTACACACTTGTAACATTTTCGTCATTTTCTGTTACGCCGTAACACCTTTCCACCAATTGTCGGTAAATTTGGCCTCATCAAAGGATGTTACGCCCAAATGTTACAAGTGTGTACGCGGATTTAGGCCACAGCTTCAGAATTAATAGAATTTATAATATTTAGATAGTACTTTATTAGATACTAGTTTACTGTATACTACCACTAGTCACTTAGTCACTAGATATTGGTCCAGCTAGTGCTTGGTGTCATCGGGTTATGGATGAATACTACAAGATTTCCAATCATGAAATTAGATTAATAATTACTAATTAGAGTGTATCGAGTATAGTGTTCAAGAAGTATGCTAGAAATTCACCCACTCAAATCAGTGTGAAAAAACTTACAGGGATGTTTGCACTACTTATATCATTGACATGGTTTATTATCCCGGTGTGGGATAATTTTACAAGGGACTAGACCAAGAAATTTCTAGATGCGAAAAAGCGAAACGTACCGAAGTACCTAACCATAACATTGCCTGCTCCATAATTTATGGCTAACTTCAACATCGGTCACAAGTGTAGTGTAAAGACGGCTATCTAGTTTTTGTAAATATCTATATGCATTATGCATACGACTGATACGAGTCTGCACGTAATTATTTCATATCGAATTTTTCTAGAAAATCTTGATAATATCTTTTCTTCATCGTATCACCAGAAATAATACGATACCTGATCACCAGGACAGTGGACACACATTTTCAAGGTGAATATTTTGTCATGAATATAAACATAGAAAGGCATTCCACATAGCCATTAGCAAGCCCTGATTTAGGCAAGTGCAGAATGCAGATAGAGCACTTGCACTTGGCCCCTAATTACTGTGGGCCCCCAGTCTCCGTAAGTTGTAGATAATTGTATTTTTAAATTAATTCCACAAACATTTATTTTGTAAAATGTAATACCAACTGTCAATGTTTTATATTTTTTATTTAATTTTAATTATATAAAATAAATTGTTAATTAATAAGTTACTTACCATTTGTATAATTTTATGGAAGATTGAAAATTAATTATTTTAATTTAAATTCATATAATAAAATCTTTAAGTATTTTTAATATTCTATCATATTATAATTTTGTTATGTTACTTAATTAGTATTATCTTTTCATTGTCCTTAATTTACTAGGCCAAGTAACTAAATTATATTTATGGTACATGAAATAATTTACAAATATTTTATGAGTTTTGAGATAGGCATTTAACACTTTTAACATATAAATATTTTTTTGGTATTATCAACATTTCCCCCCCCCTCTGTAGATTTTTTTGATTTGGGGGGCCCCAAAAAAAATTGTGCACTTGGCCCTAATATTATTAAATCAGGCCCTGTGGGCTGTGACATTAGCCGGTTCACCGTGCCGAAGCCCGAAAGTTGAAACGTCCTTCAACCGTGGACCGTGGTAACGTTGAGCGTCAACCACAGATATATTATATAAAATCTGCGGTGTCGACACACTGCGCGCAACAGAGTGAACACCTTCCAGGATACAGCCATTAAGAATTAAGATATATTATATCTTAGTCCATGGATACAGCTATAGACTATAAAGTATCAACAATCTATGATCGATTGGATAATTAACATTTATTATAATAATTATGATACAATTCTTGTCTAATGTCTATGAATGCAATTGGGTATAATATTGTTAATTGTCCACACGGCCGGCGGCCGCAAGGTTTGGCCACAGAATAGATGAAATTCATCTATTCTGTGGTTTGGCTACGCATTTCTGTCGCGTTGGTCGCACTGGTCAAATACTTATCATTAGCATGTCTATATAGTGATAGTAAATAATAATCCACGGACTAAGATATACAGGACTGGACACGAGATGAATATTGTGGTTACGAAATGTTTTACAACAGGCAGAGTTCGGGGGGATATTTTCCTTTTAGCATTACTAGCGCCGTCTTAGTGGATACTTATGGAACTAGAAATTTGTATGATGTGTTCTAGTTCCATAAGTATCCACTAGGACGGCGCTAGTAATGCTAAAAGGAAAATATCCCCGCGAACACCGCCTGTTGTAAAACATTTCGTAGTCAACCCCGCCACACCCTCCAACCTTGTCGTGTCCAGTCCTGTATATCTTAGTCCGTGTAATAATCTGTGACGTTGACTTAAGGACGATAACGTAATCGCTTAAAATATATATTATATACTGGCATACTGCCAATAATAACATCGTCGTGCGGCGTTCATGACGTAACATCGTCCCACTTTCAATCGAGTTCGCTTAAAAAAAATTTACCATAACGTTTACGCACATCAGTTTCTGTTATCTATTGTCGATTTTACTGATCTTAGTATTTCCAATTTAGTAATTAGTTTACGCCCGACGTTAGCGAAGGACGGTAATTGATTGCGGTTATTAATTAATTACATATTTTGAGAACATATTGCTACCAAAAATTTGACCATGGACAGAGATTCAAAAAAATTATTCCACAAAGTTATAGTTGATTTATTATGCTTAGGTTCAGGTAAGAACTTGTCTCACTTAACATAATACATCATATTATGACATTTTTATAAAAAAAAATATTATGCATGTTTATTATTACTAAATTCTGCCTTATATTTTATAGTTTGTACAATAATTGTTATAACACAACAATATGAATAGTTTTTTTTCACTTTTTATAAAAATTATTTTAAAGCTTGAATGAACATTTTCTAGATTCTAAATTGAACACAAATTATACTCTATACAGGTGATTTCTTAAAATTCTACTTGTTTTAGAGAACAATTTTTAATTGGAGGTGGGAGTAAAAAATGTATGCTACACGAGTTATAAAAATTAACCGTGATTAAAATAAAATTTGTCATTTGTTAACATGTTAATAGCCAATAGGTATACGTATTCTGTAGTCTGTAGGTATTAGGTATGTTCTAAATATCTGTGGCCCAGTGTCTAAATTTTAATTTGTTATATATTTATTCGCATATTTATAGTAAAAAGCTCAAACGGCACCTAGTTAAATCCTACTTATTTTGGCAGTAACCAAGAATAAAGAAAAATGTTTATTTAAAAAAATTTAGATTGGAGCAAATGTATTAATTTGTGTTTTTTCTTTTGGCTGGAGGCACTTTTTCTACTAGAGAAAATACTTTAATCGTCCAGGTTTCTTCTAGAAAATTGGGAATTTTTTTAGTTGGTACTTTTGAGAGGTCAAAATTGAAAATTCTCAGCACTTTAAAATATTCAAGAAAAACTAAAAAAAAAATACGAAAATGTGTACATATTTCAATATAATTGGTATAATATATAATTTACTATAATTGGTAACCAAAAAGTTAGACTGTTTTCGCTCAAAATCGTTTTTTCATCACATAAAATGATTTATCATTGAATTCCAATTGAACACATACATTACAGTGCCTACCTACTCAATGACGAATGTACACTCCTAATATACTGAACCACAGAGCTAAAAATAATTAAAAATAAATGCTTAAATAGTTTCAATTCAAAATAATATTGAAGTCTTTATCAGTATTCAGTTAATATGTATTTTCAATTTTGCACTATAGTTCATTGATTGTTTATCACAATGGATTTTTAGTCGACGATTTAGATTTTAAATGTTTACGAAACTTATAACATAATTACTTACTATGTACCATATTCATATACATTTAGTAATAAAGTATTTTATATTTTATAAATTTATTATTTATATCAAAATCCTCAATTATTAAATCGTAGGTGATTATACGATATTATTTATACGACATTCAGTAATGCCGACGAAACGCCCTAACCAAACCAGTATCATACAATTAAAATATATTTTTTACAAGTCTGTTTACATTTTGGAATTTACACTCGTATTGTAATCTTGATGATTCATTGATTTTTAAAGGTGTGCCTGGAATTTCAACAAACGATTATTGAAGTTATTTTATTCTACGGCTATAGGTATTAGGTATAACAGTGGATTTTAACCGCGGCGTAGCTCAAAGTTTTTTTTATAATTTATAAAACTATAATAAAATACTAGGTATGTATTAGAGACTAAAGTTATCTGACTTTTTATTTGAAATGGTTTTAAAAATATTCATTCGATTTGTAAAATACGTGTAGTTACAATAGACTTTACTTAAATATTGCTTAATGCTCATGGTTTTACGAAAAGTGTTTAAACCTTAAAATAAACTTAGATATACGTATAAAAAAAGCGGGTAAGTGGATCACTGTAATGAGTGTAATTGATGGTATTAAATTTGAATTCAATGATAATATCATTGTATACGAAAAATGATTCTGAGCGAAGATGGTCGCCTATATTATGTCTAAGTATATTTGATGATATTATATTGTGATTAAAGTAATTAATTTTACTTGATATAAGGCATTAGTAGTTAGTACAACAGTAGGTTAGATTCAGTTTTGCCAAAAAAATTGTGTTTATAATATGTAATAATATACTCTAAAAGTTTTATATATCCAAGAATAATATTTTTAAATTACAACAAAATTACTAAAATCGTTATTCTCGGTTTTAATCAAGTTTTAATATGTAATTTCGTCCAAATTTGAATTTAAAATGTCTGTAAAATATAACTGTGATATATGATTATATATTTGTTGGTTAAAGTATGAACTATTTATGAAAATCTTTGTTTTAAATTTCTAAAATTTTATCATTTTTGGGATTTTGATACATTTTGTGAAACTTCGAACTTTAAATGCTTATAAAAAAAAATTGTGCTTAGGTACTTATTTTTAATATTTTTCCATCGATATTGTAACATTATAGGTATAAGTAGACTTTTATTAAATGTTCACGCTTTTTGACCCAACAAATAAAATGTTATTGGCATTTAAACATTTAAAATAAAAAAACAACTAAAAAAATTGAAATTTGAAAATGTCTGTAAACAACTCTAAACGAGTCAAAATATTTTGAACACTTTATATCAAGTATAGGAAATGATAAAATAAGCATATTGTGTACTTACATTTCAAGTGTCTACGGCTATTCGTTTTTGAATTACAGCAAAATAAGAAAATCGCTACATGAAAAACCGAGGAAAGATCCAATGTTTTGAAAAAATTTGAACTTCAAAGTTCAAACGCTCATAAAAATTTAATTTGACTTTCCTGCTGTCATTTTTTTTTTTTTTTTGGATGAAGGTTGACAAACCTATGAGAAATCTTATATTCAATTTTAAAATCTTAGACTTAAAAAGAAAAATTTTTATGAAATTTAACTCAAAATAATTTGCACATTTTAGTGATTTTTACGACTTTTGAAAAAAATCAAACATTAAATGCTTATAAAAAAAATTGTGACTGTATAATATTTTAATATATACTGTCTTGACACAATATATTAGGAGTCTTGTATTGAATTTTCAATCTTTTTTACCCAATGAATAACATTTAATTGTCATTTATAGAAAACTGGGTAACTGAATGTACATACAATTTTTTTATATTTGCACCAAAAACATAAAATCGATTTGGTCGAAAACCGATTCTACCAAGATTCTACTTAATTCCCGTTTTTCCTTAATCTTTATTTTGTTTTTCTCGGTTTTTTTGAAAACTATTGGGAATTTTGACCTCCTGAGATTCACTTTCCCATCGAACAAGATGCTGTTGCTGAAAATCGAAGCAGTTTTACTGCCCCAAACATAAATGTTGTATAATGTGTAATGAAAATCATCAAATTCTAAAAAATTTATATCAAAGGAACCTTAATCTACCACTTTAGTTAAATAGTGTTTTTACTGTTTAATGTTTATAGAGTTCTTATATTATTATACGTTTATAAGACTGTTTTCAACAATTTTCAGTTACTTTTTAGGTACAGTGTTATCTTCCGTGTAATTTCTTTTTTTTCTTTTTTGTAAACGTTAACTCCAATATTTATTTAATAATTATTTTTGCTTATGTTATTAATGGTTAAATATAGAGTTTAACAATTAGAAAAAAATCCTATTAATAATGATTATACAAGTATACAGATATTATATGTAATTAGGTTCGTATATACTTTAGACCCTACAGTGTAGGGCCTACACTAGACTATAAAGTACTAGAAAAATACCACTGCTATACCTACAGCAGAGTGGCGCATTAAGGGTGGGGACTGGGACTAATGCTCCGGGCACCAAATTTTAGGGGCGGGAAAATGTTTATAGTGATCCATTACCTATTATGAGAACCTTTTAAAAAAATTTTACTTTTTTTCAAAACTAAAATTACAACAGAAGACCAGGATATTTGCTAAGCTTTTAAAAAATGAATACAATACAGATCTGGAAACTTTATTGTCCAATGAATGTATTCATTTTAGCTGTTATTTAAAAATCTTTTTAATTCTCCTCCAAGTATATAAGACATTTTAGTGTTTATTAGAAAAAATGATTTAAACGATATCTTACTACTAACTTGGGAGCTACACCCGAATGCGATCTCTACGTCTTACAAACGCATAACATAGCAAATTGTAGATACGTCCAGCAGATCACATTTAACTCCGTTAGTCTGTTAGTTTAAAAATTAGAATGAATTGACCTCTTCTAAAATTTAGAAGTAAGTATATTATCTAGTGATGTAGTGAACCTCATACGGTTTTTAGATCCGAGTGGAAAGATGAATGTATTGATTTTACAATGATGTGTGTTTTTTTTACTTTTATTGTGTAATCATGGTTTGGGTGCTTGGGGCGGTTCAACTGATTCGATTTTCTTCAACAGTAACTTGTTCGATGGGAAAGTGAATAGTTGGTGCATTCGGGAGGTCAAAATTTCAAATTTCAAATTCAAATTGCAAAAGCTCCGGGAAAAAGAACCTAAAAATTAAGGAAAAATTGGAAGTTTTACGCAAAATCAGTTTTTGACAAAAACGAATTTTGGTTTTTTTGTAGCTCTACAAAAAAATGGCCGTAGATACATGAAAATTTATATTAGCATTTTCTGTACACTATAAAATATTCAAAATATTTTATGATTTTGAAAATTTATTTCAAGGCTCCTGATATATTAATACAATTGCAGTTGAAAAATATTAAAAATACATAAGCTCAATTTTTTATAAGCATTTAATAAGTTCGATATTTGACATAATCTATTAAATATAAAATTTAATAATTATTTAAAAATTAAATTTATAAAGTTTTCAACTTTTATAGCTAAGGATTGAAAATTTAAAATAAGGTTCCACGTAAAATGGTTATATATAAATTACTTTATTCACAATAATATCATCATATATACTTAGTAATATCATAGACTGACTGACCGTCTTCGCTCAGAATCGATTTTCTTATACAATGCTATTATATCATTGAATTCAAATTTAACACAATCCATTACAGTGACCTACTTCTAATCTACTGCACAGCAGAGCGACACCCACTTACCCATCTTTTTTTCGTTTGCAATAATCATAATAACACTGAATTAAAATCTACCCAAATATTTTGAACCAACTCACAATTTTATAAACGAAAATGTTACAAATGTTTTAGAATCTGAGCGGAGCGATGAATGTATTGATTTTACAATGATGTGTGTTTGAGTTGAGAATTCATAAAACATTTTCTTTTTAAATCTAAGATAATTGATTATGTCATTAATCAAAAAAAAAAATGTCTACAAGCAAATCGAATTACATTTTTATGAGCGTTTGATAAGTCATATTTTTACAAGAAATGATATTCCCTCGATTTCTTATATGTAGGTAGCGATTTTGTTATTTTGTTGTTATTCAAAAACGAATGACTGTAGATACATGAACATTTTATTGAATATTTATAATTCCTATTTCTATACACCATAACATTTTGAAAGCAGAATCTAAAACGTTAGAATTATAAAATGTGTGTTATAGGTATCAATGCACTTATATAATTACATTTTAGTTTGACATTTGATTCTGAATATATTATCGCATACATATAATTGGTCATACCTTGCAAATATTCTAATAGTGTTTTGATATTCTTTCTAGAACTGTTGTATTAATTTAATTCGTTAAAATAAATTGCATTTGTTTATCGTTTTCCACAACTTTTTTTATATATTACATAAAGACACGAGGTTGCTGCTCATTACCCACCTCCAAACGTAAAGAAATCGCACGCACTCGCCCGCACCAGCTAGGTCATAATGTTATACTGTCCCGTGTCCACACATTAGATATTATTTACTACAAAAAATCTACACGACTTATGCTTCTATATTAAACTAAACTGCTCTGGAATTAAAATTAATGTATTAAATAATATATATGTTTCCAATGAAGACAGTCAAATTACCGTCAATCGAAAATTGGCATTAGTAGTTTCTAAAAACCATTAAACACCAATACACCATAACTAAAGTATTGTACTCTCGTACAACACATATTTCATTTTTTATTTAGCCTGTACCAAAATAGTGGTGTCAATTATGCACAAAAAAAACTTCTATACAGTTGACTCGTACTATCAAAAATTACATATGGATGTGATTGATAAATTATGATTTGCGACTAATAACTTGCATGATGCAAATTGCACGTGGGTGTGTGCATGAGAATAACACGAGGTCTTAAGAATTTAAATTATAATTGACACTTTTAATCGAATTTAAATTTAAATACTATGTACCATATTAAATATACTAGCTAAATGCCAACAAATTATTATTACATAATAATCAAATTCCTTTTAATTATTCAATGTTATAACTGATTAGTAAGATTCTTAATTGTGTAATTGAATGATGTATATATATATATATGTATACATATAATACTAATAGGTAGGTCGTAGGTATACCTACTATTTACAAAAACATTTCTTAGACAATTTTTAATATTTATTTTCATTCTTATATCTTGTAGTCTTCATTATTGTTGGCTTACACTGCAGTTACTTCAGAAACGTTTTTTTTAATGAGATTTTTATCTGATATTGTAACAATATAACAATAGCCTTGTATTAAATTTTTCCACTTTTTGGCCCAACAGATAAAACTTTATTGATATTTATAGAATAAAAAACTAAAAAATTGGAAACTGAAAATGTCCGTAAACAGCTCAAAAAGAGTAAAAATATTTTCAAAATTGTATGGTGTACCTATATGAAATGCTAATATAAATACCTATTCAGTAAAATTTTCATGTATCTACAGTTATTTGTTTTTGAATTACAACAAAATAAGGAAATCGCTATATGAGAAATCGAGTGAATATCCAATGTTGTAAAAATTTGAATTTCAAACGCTCATAAAAATTTAATTTTACTTTCTTATAGACATTTTTTTTTTAATAAAGGTAGATAATTATATAAGGAATCTTGTTTTCAATTTTAAAACCTTAGACTTAAAAAGAAAAATTTTTACGAATACTTACCTCAAAATAATTTTCTAATTTTCGTAATTTTTTCATATTTTGTCAATTTTTGAACTTTAAATGCTTATAAAAAAAAACTGTGATCAAGGATTTTTAAATTTTTCCACTGCCTTTGAAACAATATACTAGGAGCCTTCTATTAAATTTTCAAGTATTTTTACTCAATAAATAAAATTTTATTGATATTTATAAAAAAAAAATAATAATAAAATTAGAAACTGAAAATGGCCCTAAACAGTTCAAAATAAATCAAAATATTTTGAAAATGTTATTGTGTATAGAAAATGCAAATATAAACAACCTGCAGTGAAAATGTCATGTATCTATGGTCATTTGTTTTAAAGTTACACCAAAAACCAAATTCCCGTTTATCCTTAATTTTTCTTTTGTTTTTCTTGGCGCTTTTGAAAATCACTGAGAATCTTAAATTTTTACCTACCTAATGCATCAACGATATTCACTTTCCAATCGAACAAGATACTGAAGTTGAAAATCGAAGCATTACTTCGACTACTTATCGTGTACACAGACACAAATAAAATAAAAAAATTAAAAAAAAAACACACATCATTGTAAAATCAATACATTCATCGTTCCACTCAGAATCTAAAATGTTTGGATATTTTTTTCTTGAAGTACCTATGCTTTATTTTGGATATTTTTATTTTTCATTATTTTTTTCCTATTTTTATTTTTGCGTTACGTATTTATGTTTCTATTGTATTAAAAACAACAAAATAATTAATATTTTTTTTCAATTTCTTAATGCAGTTTGAATGATGATAACTTTTAAATGTAAGGTTATTTTTCAGTGAAGAGAGTAGCAGCTCTGATTATATTTTGAATTATAGCTAGGTACGCATAATTCTGAATCTACGCCCTTGTCTTGCAATTATTTACTGCAATTAAACCGTATAACGATTGTTTAAAACTTTAAATTACATAATATATGATGAATAATGAGTGATGAGTATTGTATCTATTAATTACATTGTTTTAATTTAACGCAAAGAATCTATAACGTATTTTTGTGAGTATTTTTACAAAACATAATAAACCTAACATTGTATGCGAAATGTTGTTACACCTAAATTATAAAAATTTAATCTACAACATTTTAAAAAATAAATACCTATATGGGCTATGGCTATATAATATGGCTGTATCATATAACGTATATCTAAAATATGACAAGAAATTAAAAAAGTATTTTTAGCATCGGCAAGAATATTATGTTCATTAGCATTTGTGTACAGGGGGGGAGGGTACGGTTGGTTGAGGAACACGTTTATGTGGGGAGAAGAATGGTTACTAAAAACCCGGGTGGTCCCCCATCCGGGAACTAGGTCGATGTTTGACCTCATAACACGTTAGTGACTGAGACTAACCACCGAGCCACACCAGGCACCGAAAAGTATTATTATTATTATTATTATTATTAATAATGATAAATACAAAGCACAAATATACCTATAATATACATTTTTTTTATGCTACATATTTTATATTTATATACATTAGGTAATGTGATATTATCTACATACAAATATATTTATTTTTTACTAGTTGGATTTCCTGTATTGATGTTTTATATGTTTGGCTCTCCATATCAAAGAGGATTCTTCTGTGGCGATGAATCTATTCGATATCCATTCAAAGAATCAACTGTTTCATCAAATATTTTATATACAGTTGGATTAGGACTACCCACATTAGTAGTAAGTAATAATTTACCAATAAGGTCTCCAGACGTTTCGTCCATGTCCATTAATGTCCATAAAATGGGTTCACAATATTTTGTAAATAACATAGTTGGGACTTGATTAAGTTGTTTAATTCGATCATATAGGATTGCGCTTAAAAATTATGTCGATCTTGCCGTATTAGGCGAAATGGTAAAATCACTGAACTGAATGTTTTAAAAAACTTAATTTTTACCCATACATGTTTATTTAGCTAGTCGTGCTTGTCATTTATTAATAAAATTGTTATCCAATTTCGTCAGTTAAGTAGCTGAACATATTTTTTTAGTACCTACATCTCCATTTCATAAAGTTTTCTTTTCTTTTATTAATTGACTGATTTAAAATTAAACACGTGCAACATAGGTTTATAGACGTGTTATATTTCCAACGTATCGATTAATCTAGTAGAGCGATAAGAATTCTGAAAACAAATTTGAATTCCGCATATAGTCTTAAATGCATATAGTCTTAAATGGAACGGTCAGGCTACATTTGATTCCTAACTTCAAAAAAAAAATGATTTAAAAAAATCAACATTTTCAAAAATTTAACTAATCATTGTAGACTTTATGCTAAATTCAAATTTGTTTTTAGAATTCTTATCACTTCACGAAGTGTTTTTTTTCTTTCTGTTAAATAGACGATTAAATAAATTAAAAATTACAAAATCATTTTCCATATACTTAAACATAGTTTATTTAAAAACGATTAACATTTAATTATAGTATAATATACTATAAATTTAAATTAATAACTAACTAAGTATAATATACTTAGTTAGTTATTAATTTTCAATAACAAACTTAAGTATTTTTAATTTCTGTTCTGCTCCCTGTGCCCAGTGGCGTAGTGAAATTGACATTTTTCAGAGGCTATAGTCTAATATTACACATTTACACTCACCCTGCAGAACTAATAAGTAATAACCCGACAAAGGCGCACCCAGTGTCATAATTATTGTAACTACCTGCCAGTAGTTATTACTAAAATAGTTGATACTATAAATTATCACTTATTTGTGATTACCTACCCACCACCACTCCGGCCGTTACTCGATTACTCCGTCATTCCACTAGCTGCACTTACATATCCCAATCAGAGTTCATCAATATCATATAAGGTGTTGACGTGTGGGTTTCATATTAATATTTTATTTTTTAATTTAATTCGTGTCCATGTTTATTTATTTTGTCTTTATATAAAGGGTGATTTACCAAGCACATTCACCTATATTTTTCCTTTAGTAATGAATTCATTAGTTTAAATTGTTGGTATACTTATATAATATACAACCTACTTAAGAGGACGCCACACCCGCATGTGTTGTCTCCGTCTTACAAATGTACAACATAGCAAAAACTCTTTTGCGAGGGACAACTTTTCTCGCACCATATTTGTTGTAGAACTACCAAATTTTCACAGCACTTAAAGAAGAACTTTATCTGTGCAACAGCGTGCTCTTTTGTTCAATAACATATATACAATACAAGTTATTTGCTTCTAAACATTTGGTTTTTTAATTTGCTTATAAAAAATGATTGGATGGTGCTAATGAAAAAAAGAGCACGCTATTGCACAGATAAAGTTCTTCTTTAAGTGCTGTGAAAATTTGGTAGTTCTACAACAAATATGGTGCGAGAAAAGTTGTCCCTCGCAAAAGAGTTTTTGCTATGTTGTACATTTGTAAGACGGAGACAACACATGCGGGTGTGGCGTCCTCTTAAGAATAATACATTCAAAGCCTAAAATATTTTATGGATAATTTAAGAAGTGTTCTATTTCAAATGTTATGAAATAAACTTTTTTAAATGAAAACTCCCTTTTTTTATTGTATATTGTTTAGAAGATATTTTTTTTTCAAAAATGTTATATTCATCAAAATTTGAACGAGCCTAGTTTTTGACTTATCAAACTTAAGTACTAATGGGATAATAGCTATCTGTGATAACAGCATGAACAGGTTTAAATCGGGAGCTATAATAATATCGATAATTAAAATTATAGTAATTAATATTAATTTATTACATTTTTATAATTTGTAAAAATTTCCCGAGTATAATAGGAAGTAGACTAAATATAGGTATTACCTATATTTTATATTGTATATAAAATCATTATTGAGTACTGCCTATTGTCTATTGTCTATTGTCTATTGCTCTTTGTATATAAAGTTTAATTACTATATGATATTAAGTATTAACAATTTAAATTTAGATTCAATTACATCAACATTCACTTAAAAAGAATTCATCCAAGTATAAAAATGTTCAATAAAGAATTATGGTTCTCATTACAAAACAATTTAGTTTGTACCGTCACGGGATACGCCTTAAATAATGAATTAAATCTAAGTACTTGAAAATATTACGATCTAAATGTTAATAATCAGTATTTGATTAAATGCATACATAATAAAAGTGGTGTGAGCGTGCTTTGTGAACCACTATAGAAATATTACCTATCTATCATTATTTGTATAATATGGTGTTGTTAAGGTGTTTACATTTAGAGCCTGAACTCTCCGAACACGAACTAATGAACAACGAACAAACGAACATACAAAATCGAACCCATTACGAACCATTTGATCAGAACATTGGTTCGTTCGTGTTCGAGCTTGAGGACGTTACACAGACATTTTTTGTCTCCGTCTTACAAGTACGTTATAGAAAATTGTACGCTCAGCTGAACACAAGTAGCTCCGTTAGTTTAAAAATTAGAATGAAATTGACCTCTTATAAAATTTAAAGGTAAGATTGTAATTTAGGTAATCGCAGTGGCTTTTTATTATATTTTAATTTTAAAGCGAGTTATGAATATTTTAAGAGTACAAACAATTTAAAATTGTAAAATACTCATAACTCGCTTTAAAATTAAAATATAATAAAAAGCATAGGATATTGCCTATATAGATAACAATCTTACTTTTAAATTGCATAAGAGGTCAATTCACTCTAATTTTTAAGCTAACAGAGCTAAACGTGTTCTGCTGAGCTTACAATAATTTGCTATGTTTCACACTTGTAAGACGGACACAACAATTAATGTCAGCTTTAAGCCCCGTCCAGACCAAAGAAAAATTGACGTCGACAATGTTTCCAATTTCCCGTCATAAGCAGTAAAAAATATTGATTGTCGACGTAAATGTCAGAAACATATGAAAAATGATTCTTGGTCTGAACCGGGCTTAACATCCTCTTGGTGAACGGACCTTTATACTTACCGTGTAATTCACAGCTCTAAATCTTCAAACCTATACACGTGGCACCGAACTATTTCAATTTTCTATGTTTGTATAATATATACCTATCGCCAGGGTCGGACTGGGTACCAAGGGCCTCACTGGCAATTTATTTATAAAGGGCCTCAACAATAGTGATAAATAATAATTCGCTTAAAAAAGATGATTAATTTTTTTCACTAAAAATTATCATAAATTAATAAACTTTATAATTTACAAAATAGTTAAAAATGTTATTTATTAATTTTAGGCAAGGAGGAAAATGTAGAAGATTTTATAGAAGAGTATACCTATAGAATCAAACGCTTTGTGTTAATTGTTAAGACATAATATAAACAAATAATGAAATAATAATAATATTTTATTTCATTTTAAATACAACTTTTATAATATTATAAATCAAGGATAGTAATAATTATTAATTATTAAGAAAAATTTAATTCTAAAATAACAATCGCTTCATTTCATTAGATGTACTAGCAAGCTTATCAATAATGTCATCATAGTTCCATTCGGAAATAATATCTGCCTCAGAATTTATTAAAATTAAGGATTCCAACAAGTCTTGACCAATAAGTGATCTGAGACGAGTTTTGATAATTTTAAGCTTAGAGAAAGAACGTTCACATGAGACTTGGGTAAAAGAAATTGTTAATAAAGTTTCATATGCAATATATAAATCTGAGTATGCGCTACTATGTAAATTAAAATCTTTCAATAATTTAATAGCACATGGAATACACTTTTGACAGTTTTGATCAATAGAACATGTTAGAGTTTCTTCTTCATCATTTTCTGAATCAAAGACATTTGATTGATACTCTGTATTATTTGAAATATTATGATAAATGGATGCAAAAGATATTAATTGATCAACTAAACCATCTCGTTCAACACTACTCATTTTTGCTAAAGACTGTAAGGCTCCTTGTGGGATCACACTCGGATCTTCATTTATTCTTTTAAAATTTTTAGGATCCAAGTATGAAGCATCTTGCATAATTGTATTTGAATCACCAAACCTTACACTGATTTGTCTAGATGCAGTATCAATTACAACTTGATAAACACTCACGCGAAACTTGTGTTTATCATTTTCAAAAGCACTTACTGACTCATCTGTTGCAGTTTCATCAAACATTCTTTTAACTTTCCGTGATCGTTTATGTGATAGTATTGTCTCAATTTCTAATTCAATTTCATTTTTAGTTAAAATATCATTAACAGAACTTGCAAATGATAATGCAGCTTTCAAAATATTATCAAATGTTGATATTGAATCTTTTGCCATATTAGATAATTGTTTTTCTAAACTCTTTAATAATTGATGTGCTGTTAGATAGTCCAATGACACAGTTTGAAGATATTTACTGACAGGTGTAGTGTACTTAAATAATGTTTTAAAAACAAAAGCTACAAGAATTGTGTCAAATTTTAAGAATATTTGCAAAATAGATTGAGCTTCAAAACTAACTTTGGATTCAAATTGATCACTGTACGCTATACTATAAAGTGTTTTTAAAAGCACAACATACCTGTTTACATCAAATATAGTTTCAAGCGCCTTGTCTTTGGCCCACCATCTAGTAATTCCAATTTTTTGTAATCTTCTCAGTGTCTCACGTCCTTCAACCAATTGTTCCAAATTTTCAATCCACTTTGATGTACGTTTATAAGAATTTCCAATAAATACTGCAACCTTTTCTAATAGTCCGAAAAATAAGCGGGCTTCTAAGCAACTTGAACATGAGCCAATCATAACCAAATTAAGTGAATAAGCATAACAATGTGTATAAATCATTGAAGGCGACACTTCTTTTAACGCTGCTTGTAGTCCGTTATATCTTCCAGACATATTACTAGCACCGTCAAAAGCTGAACTGATTATATTTCTAATATCTAATCCTAAATTATTCAAAATAGTTTTGACCAATTCAAAATATTGTCTTCCAGCAGTATTACGGATAGGAGTCATACATAATAATCTTTCATGTACAATGCCATTTCGTACATATCTAACACAAATTGCAACTTGATCCATAACTCCTACATCTTGGCACGAGTCTACTTCCAAACTAAACTTCCATGCTTCTTTTACTTGAGAAGCGATTGCCAATTGAATTTGATTTCCACAAATATTAATAAGTTTATTAATTGTTGTTTTAGATAAAAAAGTTACTAAGTTACCACGCCCTTTAGTATTATGATGAGTTTCTTTTCTTTTTTTACTTGCTTCTATCGATGTATTAACATGGCGATCAAGTACAGGATCATATTTTGCAAGTAGTAAAACTAGTGCAAGAAAATTTCCATGATTAGTATTATTATTGTCAAGCGAAAATGCTGCTTCATGTTTTCCTCTGAATGCCAGACCCTGAGTTCCAATAAATTTAATAATATCTATTATTCTTCGTAACACTAGCCGTCTTTGTAATACATCTTCACTATGTTTTTTTGTTAATAAAGACTTAGTACATTGATTTTTACTCTGTAATAAAAACGACATGAGTGCCATTCCATGAGTACTGCTTTTTTCATGTAATTCAACTTGATTATATACATGTTTTGTCGATGGTGTTATACCCTGAGTAAACGGACTGGTTCTATCAGTGTAGCACAAACAGGTAACACAGTAAATTTTATTGAGATGAAGTGAATAGGAAAGCCATTTTCTTTGAACCATAGTTTGATTTGACATTATTCGATAATATAAACGACATGTTTTAAATGGTAAATTATGAAGATCTCCAGAAGGTTGAATTGGATGGTATCTTAGGAAACACAACTTATCACTAGCACTCGCATTAATATTAGGCGGTACAAATAATGTAATTTCTTCTATGGCTTCAGGAGATAATGCAGTGTTTGGAACTAGAAAGTATGAATAAATTAAAATGAATAAAAATATATATTATTGTTTATTTTTTATTTAATATTACCTGATTTATTTTCTTCATCAATATAAGGACCATCAGCTTGTACTTCAGTATTAATTTGGTTTTCTGAAAATATAAAATATTATTGTCCATGTAATATATAAATATTAAATAATATTAATAAGTTTTCACTACATTAATTTTAATGGATAATAAGGTACTTGTTTGTTATCGCCCCGCCAGTACACCTTATAAAATTTAACGCCCCGCCACTCTTGTTTGTTATCGCCCCTCCATAAAAAAAAAAATATGATTCAAGAAAATTTCTGTTAGTTCCACGACGCTTTTTATTGCCCCATTTAGCAGAACCCCACAACCTCTCAATATTTTGGGTGTGAGCCCCTGTGTCCGGATCGACAAAATTATAGGTGTGGTTTACAGTATTATGTTTGAACCCCACTTGCTGCAAATTATTGTAAGCTTTCCAACAATCTGACAAAATTATTGAGCCTGGTCTTATATATGTTTGTATTATAGGTAACAATGTTTTCTCCGATCGATCAGGTACACTGATTATAAAACACGCTTTAGTTTCCCGACATATTCCACCAAAAATCCATTGCTGTGGCAGAATACGCCCAGCATTATTTTTTCTACGCACAAATAAACTTTCATCTATTTCAACAAAAAGACCGGGACCACCAATTTCTTTATTTTGGTTATTTTCAAGCTTCCATACACATACCTCCCGTAGATAATTACTCCAATCAACCACAGCATTTTGTCCCATATTTAGTTCACGTTTACAAAATGTTACTGAAGACATTTCTCGGGCCCAGTAGTATATGAAATGGACTATTGTGTGTATTGGTAGTCTAGAACCAGTTAGCCAATTATTAATTCGTAATCCTTTTTCCTTTCGGCAACTTCTTTTTTGACAACGCCATCGCGATCCCTTGATAAACATTATATGGCCATTTTCACACACTTCACTAACTTTAACTATATTATGTTGTTGTAAAAAGCTAATTCCAGTATCACTGTTTGAAACAATTGAAAGTAATTCAGTAAAATTCATTTTAACGTATAAATTAATTTTTTCGAATTTTTCTGTAGTAGGTAATAAGTAAATGAAACGGTAAACGAAAGCCAGCAACGAACTAAATATCCTATATCATAAAAATGATAAAAGTACATTTTATCATTTTCTAAAATAGATCATAAACAATTAGCAATAGCGATAAATTGTATGCGATGTACTGGAGGGGCGATAACAAACAAGAGTGGCGGGGCGATAAATTTTATAAGGTGTACTGGCGGGGCGATAACAAACAAGTACCGATAATAATTATTTAATAATATTAGGTACCTGATTTATTTTCTTCATCAATATAAGACCCATCAGCTTGTACATGAGTATTAATTTGGTTTTCTGAAAACATAAAATATTATTGTTCATGTAATATATAAATATTAAATAATATTAACAAGTTTTCACTACGTATACATTCATTTGAATGGATAATAATTATTTAATAATATTACCTGATTTATCTTCTTCATCAATATAAAGACTATCAGCTTGTACATCAGTATTAATTTGGTTTTCTGAAAATAGGTATAACATATTATTGTTCATGTAATATACAAATATTAAATAATATTAACTAGCTTTCACTACATTAATTTGAATGGATAATAATTATTTAATAATATTACCTGATTTATCTACTTCATTAATATAAGGCCCATCAGCTTGTACATCAGCTTGTACATCAGCATTAATTTGGTTTTCTGAAAATATAAAATATAAATATATAATAAAAATTATTTTTAATATAATATAATATGAATATTTAATAATATTAATTATCATTTTAAAAAAGTTACCAGAGTTATCTTCATAATCTTTATAAGGACTAGTGTCTTGAACATTTATATTAGAAGTAGATTGCTGATTAGAATCAATAGTTTCTTCAAAAAATAAACATAATATATATATTATTTTATTAGTTTTTACATTCATCTCAGTTTAAACACAAATTTACAAATTAAAAATAAATTTAATTGCTTAACAGTATTTAAAATGTTAAACACATGTAATTTCTAAACGCTTAAAATCTCATAATTATAAAGAGATGAAAATATTAATCAGTACCTATCTACTTAAAATAAATACGTTTAACTTCTAGTTTTGTTATGGAGCATATTATACACGTATAGTTATTAGTTATCTTAATATCTTATAATATAATTACGAAATACAAAATTTAGTTTTTGTTGACTTAGTGACAAACCACAAGCAATCAAATCATTTCTTCTTTTGGCTGAACGTTTCGAAGCCCCAGATTGAAATTTACGTTTCTCCATTTAATAATGTAAAAAACGAACAATAGAAACAACGTATAATAAGTAATAACTAATAAGGTAAACGAGAACACGTATTAACAAATCGGGTTTATGACGAATGAATAATGATATTTTCAGTGTATTTACCATAGAGTAATATAGTAATTACTCTATAGTCTATGGTATATACGTATAATTGTGTACTGATTGAAGTATTCCTCAAGCCAATGAGAACTCAGGTTTACAGTTCTAAAAATAAATACCTCCAAAATCCCAATTGATATAGATAATCATATAAGCACCGTTGCACCGATAAGACGATAACACGAACGTTGAGACGTCACGAACAATATGTTTTGTCCGTCTAAACTACTACACTGTATTTATGTTTGATTATTTTTATTTTATAAATTAACATTTGTAGTTTGTACATAAATGGCAGATGCACATTACAAATACAGTTCATATTAAATTTTATAATTATGATTTTTCTGTTAGGTAGGGCCCCATATAGTCATACAGATAAGGGGGCCTCACTGGCTAATGCCAGTCTGTTGCATAGGCCAGTCCGACCCTGCCTATCGCAGATATCCCATAATACATTTTTGGCAAGTCTACAATATACAATTATTCAACATTCCAATACCAGTGTTTCAAATATTTTTTCTTACTTTTTAATCAAATTATTTTCAATTATTTTATATAAACTCAAAAAAAATTCAGATAATTATTATTAACTACTTTAAACTACTTTACTTCAAGCATTTAACACTACATATAGGTATATATAGACTTTTATCAATATACCTATTATTTATTACTTCATTAGTTACTGTATAAGGTGTTAGTATTATACTAAAATAGTAAAATTAAAGTAATTATTAGTATTAATTATCACATTTTTAAATTAAGCATTCAATTTAAAGCATTTCATATAATTTTTTTTATTGAAGTGTAATTTTGACTATAGATAATATTAGGATACACGTACTATTATAGTAGTCTATAGATAGTAATAATTATTCGTATATGTTTGAGAACAAAATACTATAATATTTATTATTATGTTGATAACTTTATAAGTTAAAGATCTTTCAACTATTATGGACTGCCATTTGTCAACATACATAGACTTATGGACATTGTGTGTAAAAAAATGGACCAAACATCTTGAAACCACATTAAAACTGTTTGTTTTGTTTTTATTTGTTTATTAATTATTAATAAGTAATAATCGTAATTACCACTTTAAAATATTTATAGATCTTATTTATTGAATATTCAATGCAAAACAATGAACAATCGCGTTATTCGTTATTGGGAACACCTATTCCTAATTGGATGTATTCCGTGTACAACAATATATTATGGTTTTTATTTGGAGCAGCTTGTTCACAACTAACTACAGATATTGGTAAATATACAATAGGAAGATTGAGACCACATTTTTTAGACATTTGTAAGCCCGATGTGGACTGTAATAATGACATGAATAAAACAAAATATAACGAAGATTTTACATGCGGCGGAGAAAGGCCCAACAAATTTAAAGATAGTAGACTATCATTTCCTTCTGGGCATTCTTCATTATCGTTTTATTGTATGGTTTACTTAGCGGTAAGTGTGGATTTCTCTTTTAAAATATTATGTTTAAATAATTTGATAATCGTTTTATAATTTATATTATATTAGTTATATTTACAAGCCCGAGTTAAGACATCTAAGTATGGAATGGCAAGAAGTTTAGCTCAATTTGTGGTTATTTTGATGGCAACGTTTTGTGGACTATCACGAGTCAGTGATTATAAACACCATTGGAGTGATGTATTGGCTGGAACAATTTTGGGAATTACCACTGCTACTATAACTGTAAGCCAAATGATCAATTGTAATAATAAAAAAAAAATTTTCAAAAGGATAAAATGTAAAGATTAATGTGGAAATTCTTCAAATTAAACCACTTAATGTTTTTTTGTATAAATACTTATTTACCTATTTTTTAAAAAAATGCTGTGGTCTTTCAAAATAAATTAATTGAATTTATAATATTCTTCTGTTTTATGATAAAAAGGAAAATGAGGAATTTATTTGATTAATATACTATTAAATTAGTTTGTATACCTGTTAGATTTGTTTACAATATGTATACGTATATGAATTAACGAAGATGTTTATGGTAATAAGACAATAAATATTTTCAAATTTATGATTATTTTTTTTTTATGTTTTGCAAGATCATAATTTATAACAATCTACATATTTTTAAATTCCAAGCGGAGCTAAAAAGCTTTTGTCATTACCATAGTATGATGGTTTTTTTTTCATTCAAACTAATTATTACTAATAACTTATGAGTACCATAGTGTATGTACCATATTTTCAAATTCTTGAAATTTTTTGTACTGTTTATGGAGTGTCCTATGGAGATACAAACTTGTGTTTTATAAAAAAGATTTTCCCTTCTCTACAGCAAATTATTTAACGGATCAATTTTCTGTAAATATTGATGTATCAAAATAAAAATTTGAAAGAGCAATTTTTGAACTTTTTCACTTTTGTGTGCTAAGGATATATTCCATGATAATCGGTTTGGAAGATATGTGGGTTATGGGGATTTTAAAATTTTAATTTATTAGAAAATAAATAAGTTTTTGTTTTTTTGTTTCAACAGTCTGTGTGGTATATTACAATATAGTTAGTATTATTTTATTAGTATGAAAGTAATATCAATAACTATTTCTTGTTTACGTAATATTTGTACAAAGTAGTTGATAACCTTAAGGGAACGTTACAGTGACATTTTTTGTCTCTGTCTTACAAGTGCGTAACATAGCAAATTTTACTCGCAGCAGAACATGTTTATCCCCCGTTAGTTTAAAAATTAGAGCGAATTGACCTCTTCTAAAATTTAAAGGTAAAATTATTATCTAGATAATGACAGGCTTTTTATTATATTTTAATTTTAATGTGAGTTATGTGTATTTTAAAATTGTAAACTGTTTGTACATCTTAAAATACTCAAAACTCGATTTAAAATTAAAATATAATAAAAAGCCTATGTCATTGTCTCGATAATAATCTTACCTTTAAATTTTATAAGAGGTAAATTCGCACTAATTTTTAAACTAACGGAGATAAACGTGTTTTTCTGAGCGTAAAATTTGCTATGTTACGCACTTGTAAGACTGAGACAACAAATGTCACTGTAACGGCCCCTTAACCTTGATAGATACATGATAAATTGATAACACACGTTCTTTAGCTATCTATTGTTTTTATTTATTTATTAGGTTAATATTGTTATGTAAATGGTTTTAACTTGAAAGGGGGGTACGAGTTAATATAGTGTCCCCTTTTTCTAATACAAGCAATAAATAAATAAAAACTTAATATTAACATTACGCAGCAAATTAATATAATACATGTTAAACAATAATACCTACCGCTACTATTATTTCATAATTTAAACTAACTCGAAATATCATAATCTGTAATTTTGTTTTTCTTTTTGATTTGCTTTGAATAAAGAAAAATTAAATATTACAAATGTACAATATAAATAATATTTTTATATTAATATTCAATTTCAAATATATATGTATGCATGCAGTTTGCCTGCATAATTTTATATAGGTACCTATTATAAATATCAAAAGTTTAGGGGAATTATTAGTATTATATATGTCCGGAAAGTCTGTAAAATAAAATTTAGAAGAACCTGCTCTGTATGTGTACTTATATATTTATGAATGTAGTGTGTCTCATTGATGTTTGTACTTTTGAAAATTGATGGACATCTTAAAAACTCAATAATACTCAATAATCAAATATAAAAAAGTCCGAACATCGTGAAATACCTATCTCTACAGATGTTAATTATGTATTTAATTTGTGTACCTATATATTAGACTTAAACTTAATGTTTTAGGCATTATACGTATCGGAATTATTTGCGTCAAAATATAAATCCCTCCGAAAACGCAATTCTTCAGCAGATGACATCGAAACTACAAATAATTTACAAACAACCGAACTCAAATAAATATGCACTAATGCTCCAAAACTGCATTTAAATTGTATGAGTATATTCTTGAATATATCGTTAATATATTGATTATAATAAATAATTTGACAAAAGGCATTTTTTTTTCCATTTTTTAAATGACAGTGAACAGTGGAATCATATACATTGTTAATCCTAATTATATACATTATTTTCAAAATAAAAACCTAAATGAATAATAACAGATAATTTTTTATCACAATTTTCATTTTTATTTTATTACAATTTTAATAATTTTATAAAGACTATTACAAATAATTTAATTGTTTTTTATTTATACATTTTTCAAGTATAGATGTATTTTGAATATAATATACATAAATTACATTAAATTATAATTATTTTTTATGATCAATTAATTAACGAGGGTAGGTACCTTATATATTTATTTTATTCATAAATGAAATCCTCAAGATTTTGTGCAGTTATTGTATAGGTGCTATTTTTTCGTTAAACATTAATGCTAAAACTTTTTCAAAAATTAATATGGTTTTGGGTATTTCTTTTAAACATTACCGATTAGACATTTTATTTATATTAAATTCTAAGCCACGATCACATTTTATTAAACAAGACTAAAAAAAAATGCAATTTATTTATTTTTAAGCTGTGGTTAAATAAAAGCACATTTTATATTAATTATTATATATTTTATATAATATCTTGTATAATATATTTTAAGAAAATATATATTTCCAACATAACTATAATAATATTATGTTCCTTCCATATAAATGTATACTTTTTGTTTGTTATAACGTCATAAGTATAATTTATTAACTATTTTACTAAAAAAAGGCAGATCTGTAATTGTTGTGACCTGTTCACATTTAAAAAAATTATAATAATATAATCAGCTTTAATTTTAATTTTTATTATTATTATTATTAAGATTATTAATTTAGTACTAAATAACAAAATTAATTCATTTTTGTACTAATATTATTCATTAGGTAGTATTTTCATTTTTTAATGTTTATATAATATATTAATATGCGTTGTTTTTAATATTATTATTTTATACTATTTAAAATATAAATTTAATTTATGAATCTATTTTAGTAAAATAATAGATCATGACCGTTTTAATATATTTTGTTTATATTTCTACTGTACACAATTATTGATCTGATAATTAAAATTGTTTTTGTTTTCTACAAATTAATTAAATTAGAAATTTTAGTGAGAATTAATATATTATATTATATTTTGTAAATCATCAAGTAACAATAAGTTTATTTCAAAGAAATATAACCACAGAATAGATGAAATTGCATGTATTATGTACAGTAGTCGAAATGGCTCAAGATAAGTGGAGGGATGCCTTACAATTCAGATTTCCTGATATCATCATAACTAGAGCCCGGATTTATATGAATTTAAAAAGTGTCAAATATGATGCAAATATACAAGGAAAAAGTGGCTCAATATGCATTATGCAATTATATGCCATTTGTTAAACATTATAAAATGTGATTTTTTTTACACATTTTTACACCAAGGAAAGTAGGTACGGTACCTACTATATATTCTATCAGAAACAAAAGAATATTTAAACAGTTAACATTTAATACTTTAAAAACCAAAATGCAATATTTTATAATCTTCATTTTTTCATATTTTAGATTGTTTAAAATACAATGTCTAAAACTCTCGAAAAACTTAAAAAAAAAAAAGAATCAAAATAAAAAAAATCATCTGTAAATATTATTCGTTTAAAAAAAATTTGTAAAATTGAGTTACTGCCTTATTCGTTGCGCACGCCGCACGTCGAAGTAACAACATCAGATGCCGAAATGCGGGTGTATGCTATTTATTGTTGTTAATATAATATTATCTATACCTGCTCTGATCTCATGAAGTGTTGCAAAAATTATAATATTTAAAGAATATTCTTGTAAGAAACCCTGTCAACGATTCTTTTTCTCTTTTAAAATTACTAAAATATATTTAATTTTTAATAACCCATTAAATATGAATGTTACATGCATTTATGAACCAGTATACAATAATCCTCTAAATATGCAAAATATGCAATATAAAAATTGGTGTTTAAATTCAGTGTGAGATGAACTGTGGAAATTTTAGAACCCCCTAGACTTGCATACACTTAGTACAAATATGCAAATACATATAAATCTGAGCTCTAATCATAACATTCTTCCAATCTCCATCTAACAAAAAAGTAGAGGGTAGCCATCCCTCCGTACCCCCCTTCCCAACTTCGAGCACTGATTATGTATTTATGTGATAACTATATAGTTGAATTTGATGTGAATATTTATAGTAATGCAAATGTTTATTATTAGTCTTGGGAAAAAATGTCTCTCTGGCATCAGGCTCAGAAACCGTTTCGGAAGTGGCTTTTGAATGGCCTGCAGATGTTGTGGTGTGATAAAACAGTTTCATATATCGAAAATGAGTAACGGACTAAACAAAAATAAAAGCGAAAAATAATCACGTAGAACTAGACGTTAGGAAGACATAGATAAGTGCAAATAGCGTTTGAGATTTATGGTTGGGGGTTGAAGCCCTACTATATAATAATATTATTGAAAGCTTAAAAAAAATGTAGGACATTTTTGGAGGGGCTTAGCAACTAAAGCCTATAGTATAGACTAATCGAAAGTATCTAGGTATACCTATCTGTCTACAATGTATTAAACTATTAAAAACGTCTTGTTATATTGGAAATCAATTGAATAATCGAATGGACAATATTATATATTGTACAATATTACCTAGTGGAGACTTGAAATAATTAACTTGGGTTATGCGACAAGTATCAAATAAGTAGAATAATATACGATCTGTAACATATTATATTATGCCGGCTTGGTCGCTTGGATCACATTATGCATTTCGATTGGTGCTTATTATTTGGGAACCGAACGGTAATTGAACCGCAAGTTGTTAAACACCGTTAGAATTTAAATAACTAAAACCGTCATAGGCGCAAATAGGGGGGGGCTTAGGGGGTATTAGCACCCCCAATTTTAAAATTAGCGCCATCTAATAAATATGTGTTTATGTATCAAAACTTCTCTTTACAAAAAAAAAACCAAAAACAGTTAATCATCAGACATGAGGGTATCAGAGTATAATGAATGAAACAATGAACTCGACAATTGTAATTTTATCGAATTAAAATCTATTTAGAATATAAATCATTATTTTCCAATGTTTCTACTAAGCCCGGTCGTTGTGGTCGGTTATATTATTATCAGTGTTATCACGTTCAGCAGCGACTCAGCTCTACGACAATTTATAGTATCGCGAGTATTTAGTAAAAACTTACGAGGAACTAAAAATAACTTTTAAGCTTTCTGACCCAACGAATAAAATTGTATTGATATTTATTAATTCAAATGTCTATAAATCACTGAAAACGAGTCGAAATATTTTGAACATTTTATAATGTATAGAAAATGATAGCTTAAACATTAGATGGACATTTTAAATATCGACGGTTAATAGTATTGTTGAATAACAACAAAATAAGAACATTTTTTTACGAGATTCATCAATCATTGTAAAATCAAAACATTCATTGTTCCCGTAGTCGGCTCTAAAAACAATAGTAATAAAACACATAATAGTTAAGTAGGTATAATAGATATTAAACATTATAGGTACATATAAAATATAATATCTGTAACCCTTAGGTCATAAGAATATTGTTGAATATTTTACTGCAGGCTGCGTGTTTTTTCAGAAATGGTATTTAATTCGTCAGTGAAGATTTGTCAACTGGGAATAATATATCATAAGCAGACTGAAATGTGTAAACGTTGTAGTATTTCGAAGACTATGTTATAGCAAATTTTGATTCGGACACGGGGTATGTATTTTCTTATTTTTCAGTAGGTTTCTTTTTATTATAGTTAATCGATCAGGGTTGTATTGCCAGAAACTTTTCAATTATTTGTATTGTTACCTACTATACTGGTATAACACTATTCTGGCTATCAATTAAGTCGTGATAAAAATTAGGAAATTGGTCAGGTATGATATTTTTTGGTATGTAGGTACTAATTCTTTTGAGTAGATAATTCGTTAAATTATTTAAATATTTTCACCGATAATCAAGTACGATGACTTGTAGGTAACTAGAGACTGAGTGAATAGGAATTAGGAAGTGTATGATTTGGCGAAGATAAGGAAAGAGGTCATTAGGATTTCAGAATGTTTGCCGTATGAAAGGGAAATGCGAAAAAGAAATGTTAGGTTAGGGTAGGTAAGTGGAGTGAGAGTAGCAGATATGAGAATGTCAAGTTGAGTGTGTAAGGGACAAAAGAGGATAGAATATGATATTGATTAATTAAATGTAGTGTAGGAGTGACATATATATTTAAGTGAAAACAGGAGATACTAGGTTGAGGTGGTTCAGTCACTGTATGATAAGATGTAGTGAGAGAAGCTAACGGAAGTAAATGTATTTTGAAAGTGAGAGGTGAGAAGACTGATGGGTAGATAGAGTACCGATGATATGGTGGTGTAGGAAAAGAGGGTGGCTGAACCTGTATAATTGTGTGAGAAGGGGAAAGAAAAAGTGTGAAGGTAGAATAGTTAGGTTGACAATACCGAATACGTAGGAAAGGATCTCGAATTGCAAAGGCCACTCGACTCTTTGGCTGAAACTACCGGCGATAGGTTTACAACCTAGACTATTATGGGATAGAATAAAAAGATCGGTTGGTTGCCGGTTGGGATGTCAGTGCACTATTTGTTTCCATCTTTGACCCACGCGAGGTAACATCATAGGTGCTATTGGGGGATGAGGGGGGTCTAGGGGGCGGGCTTATAGCCTAATAAAAAAATGATGCGGATCTGTATTGATTTCATCAAGTAGCGAAGTACGTTGGCTACTTTATGACATTTTAATTATTATATAAGTTATGACTTATTAGCGTGTAAATAATTAAAATTTAAAATGCTTATAAATAATTAAACTAATTCAATGACACACAAAAAAAATA